CGATTCTGTAAGAAGCAAAAATGCAGCAAAATTTGAGATAAAACAACCGTCACGATCAAATTAAGCACCAAATAAGTGAATGCATTTTCCTACACGACAACTTTATTCACAAAGATGCTAACAGATTGTAGTGTCTCGGGAATATCATGCTTCACGGTAATTTTTTGATATTTCATAAGAATTGAGTACTGAGATTCATAGATTTCCGCAGGTTGCCACCCAAAAAAAAGGTTAGGTACGATTCAAAGGATAAAGAAGCTTCCATACAAAAACGTAGCCACTAAACAAAATTATGCTTCAAGTCCTTATCTGACCCTCTCTGATTCACTCATTCATATAATGTAAAATATCCTGAGGAAACAAACGGACCCTCTCTGATTCCCTCATTCATATAATGTAAAATATCCTAAGGAAACAAACTAATTGTGTTTTCTGATTTAATGTATAATCCTTTTTTCAGCCAACAAATTCTCCCTAAAAACCAGCACTCTAGAAGTCACTTCTAAGACATAGCATCTACTACCTGCCCATTTATCGGAGTGATAACTTCTAAATCATGTGACTACAGCTATTACTAAACAATATTTGTGAATATTTTCCAAAGTCACATGCGGTGTTTAAAAAACTTCAACAATGATCTGTTCTCCAACTGGAAAAAAAAAATCATCATTTTGTAACTGCACCTAACCTTACAGTGGCTTTTAATTTTAATCAGAAGCATGAAAGAAAAGGTTCACAAAATAATTTAAAAAAATGAAAAGACAATAATATTTTTTCCCCCATGCTTTCATTAAATGGACTATCTTTTTTTATATCCAAATAAACAATTCTCCTAGTTCCAGTTTAATTCTACATCAACTCGTTCTTTGAATTCATCAATAAGTCTCCCAACTGTTAACCCATTACTGTTGTACAAATCGTAATTACAATTCTTTCAACTAAACAGTTAGCAAGAATCAATGTGTTCAGTGAGTTTTCATGGTACTGCAATATCCTCCTCAATGGTGTATATGCAAGAATTGGCATGAATGGAAAAGCCTCTGAAACCAATATTTTAGCAACCTAGATGAATATTTAATTCTTTAACACAAAGTTCTAAGATATTAATCTTCACCAAAGAGACCCAAATCAGTCCATTGTAACTGCACGGACACATTGACACGAGTGTGTAATATCTACAAACCGTTGCATGCATGAAAGATTGTTTGATGTTTTTAACCATGGATGATATCATTTCCACTGGTGTATTATTTTTAGAAAAATAAAAATAACCTGACTAAAAGAAAGAACATTTAAAATGGTGCGAAAGACCTACTTGCATCATTGATCGAGGATTTGTAGTGTAGGTTGTCTCAATGGTCTTTTCCTTCTGCAGATCATAAATAGTGGTTCACATTGATGCTCCATGAAGCTTTGAAACAGACAAATAAGCCAGAAAGCATGTAGTAAAAAGGCTACCTCAATCTGAAATCCATACATCAAAGCAACTCTCTTTACATCCTCCAAGCTCAATTCAATTGACATCTCCTGCACAATAGGAAGAAAGAGGGGAAACTGGAAACTCATGAGAGTTGAAAAAAAAATTTTGATTGAGATAGGAAATAAGAAAAGCCGAATGAATGAAGCAGAAAAAAACTGAAGCAGAGCAACTTTTAGCCTTATAAGACTGTGCCTTTGAGGCTATGGGTCAGTGTGCACGCTTTCAAGGAAGAGGCGAAAAGGCTTACATCTTCTTGCCCATACATATCTGCAAAATGATATAATAGAGGTCCCAAGTTTATCCACACCTGTCAGCCAAGTATACAGATTATACACATACCAAAATAATAGAGAAAATAGAAGCTAAATTCAAAGACCTTAAACATAAAGGAACTTACTCCACCATCTTTCAAGATTCTCGATATAATCTCAATATATTCAATAATGTTGTGTGCTGTGTCAATGAAAAAACAGGTCACGACTGCATCCCACATTCCTGCACATACAACAAATTTTGCTTAATAATTTACATTTAAGGATGAAGATATAAACACACATGCACACACCTTGCAGTAATGCAGTCATGCATCCATGCCAAGAGAAACACGATAGTTTCTATGAAGGTGTGATTCCACATTACAACATTTATTAATGTAATCCATATTACCCAAACCAGAAAAAGTAAATATGAAAATCCAATATTGCATTCATAATAAGCTGATATATGTACAGATATTAATAGTCCTATATATGACCATGGATAATAGAGTTAGGTATCCAATATGAATATCCTAAAAGTTTAAACTAATAAAATAGGATTCAAAAATAAATGTTTAAGCATGTCAAAGATGAACTTTGAAATCTTTGAAAAGTTACTTTTGATGTTCTCTAGAAAATTTTGTTTGTTGATTACTCCACGAAAAGACATACAATCCCCAAAATGTTTTTATGAATAAACACGTACAAACACCTCCTTTTCGAAAAATGAAAACTAAAAGATGTTTCCCGTGTAAACAAATGAGAACTTAGAACTCCTACCTATTTGGCATGATTCGCTGTAGACCTCAACAAAGTCACCTCCACACATAGAAAACCCTTCAGTAATTCCTGCACTGCTTACAGTATAAAATAAAATCATTACAATGAAATGATTATGGAGAAACATACTTCTAAGGCCATCCCCTTAACAAAGTAGATTATCATATTAAGCACCTTAATACACCACAAGAATCAGACACTTGGCATACTGTATATTTTATAAATGGCTGGTTCCCTCTTGGTAAAACATGAAGATAATAGTTTTCTCTTACATACAGGATTATGGAGAAATAATACTATTTTGTCACCAGGTGCACAATGTATATTTAAAAATGGCTGGTTCCCTCTTGGTAAACATGAAGATAATAGTTTTGCCACTACACAAGTGATATTATGTAACAAAGTCAAATTACAATTATTACTTACTGTGCACGATTGTGCATAAAAAACTAGCTTGGCACTCAAAGGCCACATTAGGCTATGTTAGTAAAAGTGAACTCTATTTGTGGAATTCATTTAGAAAGACAAAATTTAACTATGAGATTATGGTTCCCCTTAAATCAATAATTTTGATGAAATTTGAAATGAATCGTCTCAATTTCGATTGAAATTTTAGGAGATTTCTTCTAGAAAAAGAATTCTGGGAGCTCAATTTTATGATTCGTATGGAATTTTATGCACTTGTTGTTAAAATAAAATTTCCAACTAAATTCCACAAATAAAGTTAATTTACTTCCAAACACGGCCTTAAGGAAAATTCACAAAAAGTTCTAGATAAAGAAAGCATAAAACTAATAAATGCACAGAGAGATAGGAGGCCCTTCAAAATGCTGTTAATACCTTGCTGGAAGAATATCAGGTATTGATACAGGACGAAGTTGATCACTGTCAGAACGTGAATTGCAATTGCTATGGATCCAAGGATATATTGTCCACTGGCCAATGCTTTGAGAGCTTTAAAACTCAAATCAAGCAGAAAAAAACTAGCTTCAATACCAAACTAACCATCTTTAGTCAGCAAACTTTACAAGAAAATAAAAATCCAAAAAATAACAAAAGGCCCATAAATCTTTTTTTTTTTTTTAAATAACAAAAGGCCCATAAATCTTACTGGTTAAGAATGAAACTTGAGCAAATCATCATGTAGTATGAAAATTCATTTCCCTGGCTTATAAAACCTGTTTCAGAAAATAAGACCTGCTTTAAAAATGAGGAGAATTATGTAGTTTAGATTGCTTCGTTATCATGAGAAATGAAACAGTTTTGACTCATATCAAAGATGCACCTAGGCAAGAGATCTCCAGCGCCAACCGCCCAAGTCCAGCGCCAGGAACAAGACAGGCAGGAGGGCTGACAAACAAAAGTTGTAGTATTACTAAAAGATACATATAAAATATGGAATAGTTGCAGTGGAGATATGTTAACTCTCAAAGAATTTTTTTTTTAAGAAAAAAGAGGATACCTCTTCCCATCACGGTTAGGAAACAGTGAATCGAGCTCTTCAAGAATAGGCTTGTAGCACTGATCACGTTCCTTTTGTCCCTGTAGTATGAAGAGTATGTACTCAAAGGAACTACGCTCTAGCTCAAAGACCGAGATTGTAACTCTGAATCCAAAATAAAGGTAAAAAACTATTACCTCAGCTGCCCAGTCTCTAACTATATTCCTTATTATACAACGAACCTGAAAAGAAAGTTACAAACAATTAAATCCATCAAGTACCCATATTTCACATGGGACTACCAAAATTGTATTAATGGATTTGGCCGGCAAAACAACCAAGTTCCATAAACATACTCTCAAGCATTTCCAGATAGTGGTCTCGTCAGTTAATAATATAAATGAGAAATTGTTTAGAAATGTAAAAAATGTGAGCTTATTATGGGCAAATTTCAAGGGTATCACCTCAAAAATACTATTAAGGAACTCAAAAATGGCTTTCTTAAAATTCGGAAGCACTCATGAAGAAAATTATCACAACACTCATGAGATAAACAGGGTGCTTCCGAAGATTTTGATACAAATTGCTTGAGAAAATGACAACTCTTTGGAATATTTTACAGGTACACCACTTGTATTCACAAACATTCATTTCCTTTGGAGTTTCAATGGCAACATGCTTGCAACAATCATCCTTGCAAGCACTTGACGAATTATGATAGCAATAAGCAGGGTTGGAAATAAGTCAAACATGTTCATGTTAGGGCATGACATTATTAGTAATGAGAATTTTGGGAATGTCATAAATACACTAACACTTCTATAAAGTCTATGTACATGGGTGGTACCCCCTTTTTCTGGTACTGTGTTAATATATACTTCATATTTTTATTTCAGAAAAAAAGTCAAACATGTTCATGAATGTTCTTATTTAGGTTTTTCAAACTCCATTGGAGTTTGATTAAATCACTCAGAGCTCAAATTTGGTTATATGTGACTTCATCTCAAAATATACCTTATCTACATCAACCAAGGGAACATTCAACTGCATCGATGGATCCAACCAATCACCAGATGTTGAAGATACCTGAATGATAGAAGAGTAAGGAAGAGAATTAGTTAGGACACTCAAATGCGGATGAAGCAAGGTGCACTTTAACTAATCAAAGGCATTACAAAAGAAAATAAGGTAAAATTGTATGAAAAGCCAAGGGAATACTAATGGTAGAAATTTTGTTCCAACACTCGATGACGGTAGTTCCAATCTTCTGTCAAAAAAATTAATTTCCACTCTTCATTTAGAAATTCAAGATCTTGCAAGTTAACTCGCATCTTTATGAAGGAAAAAAATATACAAATTTAGATTTCAATTTTGATGTTCATATGCTAAAATAAACACATGCTCAAATGAATATTTCTCACATAAGAAATCCTCAACCCACTTAAAATAGCATGCAATACCACTATATAACAAAGAAGTATTCATGTAATCACCAACAACATGTCAACCAACATATAAGAAATCATATTTCAGTCCCCTCAAAAAGAATAAGAAGTTTGAAATGGATCCAACAGCATTACATTCCCATTGGCATCACTTGCATCATTTCCGTCATGTTTATATGCCTCTTTCTCCTTTCCCAAGACTAAATCACAGCTCTCAGAAACAGAATCATGAAGGTCTTCTTTTGGTATCTCCTGTGGTTATCTACAGAAGTCATATTTCTAAATGAAAAAGACAGAAAAAACTTAAAAAAATAAATTGTATCTTTTCAACTGTGGACTCTTTCAAAATAAGACAATGGTTATCTAATGTTGCCAATACCTGTTTAGACATGAGTCCTACCACAGACTTGTGCATAATGTTGCTTCCTGCCTGAGCCTCACCATGATTAGAACAACACGTTCTTTCACTACTTGATGTTGACTGATGAGAAAAAGTACTCCTCTCTCCAGAGTGCGACTGCTCAGTAGTATTCTCAACAATAGTATCTTCACATATGTCCACATCCTGACTCATATCTATAGGGGGTTCAAATGCCTGCCAAGCAATCACCAATTGCACATTCTAAGATGTAAGGTATTTCAGATATCTCCGCTCGTAAGAGACTGGAGTAGAACACAAAACGAGCAAGATTGAAGAAGTCCAAAATGAAAATTATGCATCACATGAGCACAGAGGATGAAATATGGCTACAACTCACCTGAAGCATGCTAAATATGAAGAATGAATTAACTGATATACACCTGCAGAATCAGAATCCATAAAAAGTCCATCAAATTAGTGATCTCCGTTGCCAAAATTCTCCATTTCATGGAAGATGCTCAATTTCATTTTTAGGGGCTTTGCTCGCTGATTTGGGTGATTTTCACTACTCACTTGGACCAGGAAAGAGAAAAACGAAAATGTCACAGAAGGGGGATGTAATCCAAGTAGACAGGAGGTAAGGAGAGTTATACAATTAAAGAATATCCACATTGTTTTGTATCTGAGGATGTAACATGTCATGTTCAATATCCTTCCTTTACCACTAACAGCATTATCACAGTTCCTATCAGTTCACCATGAACTCTTATCTCAGGAATTCAAACTGCACCAGGCTGACCAAGATGCATATAAAATAAAAAATCCCTATAAATCAACAAACAAACCTTGGCAAGAAAGTGCCAACCTTAAGAAGTGTACTCAAAGTGCATCCAGCATTATGGTTATACTAAAAACAGTAAGGGAAGCATACATCCTGTGCATTTCCACAATTGAGAGTGTACTGAATCAGAAATAATTCAGCATAGTAAGCACCCCTAGACTAAGAATGCATATAAACTAAGTATGTGATGCATGTGCGTGCCAAAGATTCCTTACAGCACTTATATATTTGAACAAGTTTTCTTCTACCTTCTTCAATTTTTTCCTTGGGCATCTCCTAAAGTAAAAGGTCCATGTATCTTTTACGAGAGAAAGAGCTCAATTTTAGCTTTACAAAATTTTAGAAAGAAGAAACCAAGTTTACTAGATGTATGTAAATCCTTCTATAGAGATATACACTGCACTTAAAAGAGCTTTTAACATCCAGATAAATTTTTATGCTATTCAGTAGAAACTATAACCAAAAATATTAAGCCGTTAAAAAGGTAAGCAGAAGGAAATTACCTCCTCAACTTTTTGTACTTGATAGGGTAGTGAGATAGTAAAGCCTGAAAAAAAAATTTGTTTCTCTTAAAAGAATTGGTAGGGCCAATATAAAATGTCATTAAATGCATTTTCACTCATCTCAGACAAGCCAAAAGTGACTCCTCATATTTTGCAATAGAAGTGAATTTCACATTAATTCAACATACAAAATTCCTAGTCCCGTTATGCGGCATGCCAATTTGAGTGACTTAGCACATTACTCACAGAAGACAGCACCATAATGTACTAGCATCAAAGATCTCCTGTGACTTAAAAATGGAGTTTAGCATTGAAATAGCTGAGACAACAAACAGGCTAAGCCCCCATACAGAGGCTTCCAATCTTGGTTCTGTTTAAAGAGTTCGTTTCTTCAAGAAGTTAAGACCGACATTTTAAAAAATTCAATAATATCGACACATAGCTATCATCTATGAATTCCCCTTCCTGTACAGGGCGACAACCCCTTTGCTTGTTTATATATTTACTCTTTTTCTCTCGCCACAAAAAAAAAAAAATCTGAACAAATCAAAGAGTACCTTATGTACAGGTGGTATCTTCTTAAATGACCTTTCATATCTTTTGATATCCTCTTCTGCAGCTTCTGGGTAGCTAAAGAAAGTACATGCAATAAAAGGGAACATCGTTAATCCCATCAACAGGAAGAAAATAAATACTACATTACGAGAATTCGTCTCATAGATACGTAGGTAAAGTAGCGGTATCATATGATACCATTAAAACATCACTGTCAACATTGTATACCCAATCCCTTTGTAAAACTCTCTGGTAAGTTTCTTCGAGTGAAATTGTTTAAGATTCTCCGAATAAGAAAAAATCTGAATAGGTAACATGAAACATTTTCGATAAAACGAAATTTCCAAGCTTCATTTTCCAACTCGTATGATAATCAAGCTCAAAAAACTTTTTGCACTCGATAAAAAATCGATCGCTCGATCGTCACGTAATTGTGAATTTACTCGGTGAAAAAACGAATCTCGTGAATGGATTACCAATATTTGATCGTTGTAGCGACTTCATGATTGGAACAAAAATTTAAAAAAAAAAAAAAAAGAAAACTAAGTGAAAATAATGAATTGAAGAAAGGTACTTGAGGTAGGCGCTAATTATGCGCCGAAGGGACTTGACTTCTAGAGCTTCTTCAATCTTTCTCTGACGGCGTCGTTGCTCGTCTTCTTCCAGCTCCGTCGACATCCCTCGTTTTCTCTGATTAGACGAGCTCAGTTCTTCACTGCCTGTACTCCAGTTGTTTTTGTTCCACGGAGGCTTCGAAGGAGAGACCAAGGTTTTTTTCCTCTTATTGTCAAAACTAAAGCTCTTGTTTGGTTGCTCGAATAAGATGAACCACGAATTTAATTTTGGCTTGTCTGGGATAGTAATCTCTTATTGTCAAAACTAAAGCTTTTGTTTGGTTGCTCGAATAAGATGAACCAGGAATTTAATTTTGGCTGTCTGGGATAGTAATATCCGGATTTTCTTAATATAATTTCTCATTAATAATGATTAACCCCAAAAATTCCCATTAATCATTACTAAATTTTGAAAATTAATATAAAATTCGTTATAAATGCTTTGGTGAAAAATAGTGATAAAGAAAATGAAGATATATAATTACCCAAATTATTTTTTAATTTTTAATTTCTAGAGTTATATATATTAAACTTATATTATTTAAATATTTACATATATCTTTAATCATATAATTAATATGACTATATTTTATTAAATCTACATATCATACATTTAGTGCTAATAATATTAAGAGTATATGTCGATATAATTGATATTATGAGAAGGGTAAAAGTAATTATTATATAAATATGTTGATTATATTTAAAAAAATTCAATATCAACTTAATCATAATGAGGTATTTAATATTGTTAAATATTAATATCGTTATATAAATAAATTAATAATATTATCTATTAATTATTTTTTTTACAATAATTAACTTTAATTAAGTATTATTTTATAATATATAAGATTATGATTAGCTTTGTGCCTAGTTGTTTAAGTACTATTTTAAAAAAAAAAAAAAAAAACATCCCTTTTACAATAAAAGCACGTAAAATATTTTGCAAAAAAGTTAATTTTAAAAATTAAGTTTAATGCTTGAATAAATCAACAAGAAATCTACATAAATACAATATTAAATTTGTTTTCGTTTTCATATTTATCAAATGGAAAGAGATATTGAATATTATAAAATATTATTTATTTTATTATTCACACTAAATATTCAATAAAGCATTAGAGAGAATTTGTAGACAATTTCATACGGAAATTATAAAACCAACCCTTTTTCACCATGCACTCCCAAAAATTTTTAAAATTTAAAATTATTTTAGCATAATCTTTTTTTTTTTTCTCTAACCCCGTATTATCTACATGGTAATGCATACATAATACAAATTCATAATAAGACACCTCAAATTTACACTATCATATAAATAATTGAAATACTAATATCATCATACAAAAAATATTCAATAAAATAAAATAAACTTAATTTTGAATATAATACCTAGGCCCAAAAAATTAGCCCAAGATAAATTTTACTAATTTAAATATGTATAAAAAATATATTTTATAAATTAATTTAATGAAATTTTTGTTATATTTGAGAAAAAATAAATTAAGGATAAGATTAAAAATAATTTTAAAAAAAATGTATGAAAATTTGGATTCTGAAGGTGTTTTTGAAAGAAAAATCAGAAACTTTGTGTCAGAATGTAAATAAAAAAAATTTAACCACGTAAGACCGCCCAATCAACATACTTGATGAACGGTTAAGATCAAACACGATGAACGGTCCAGATTAACGTGAGATGGGTATAAATCTTTCGCATCACACTGAACCCGAACCCTAGCCTCCAGCCTCCTACCAACCGCTGCCGCAATGGTGCCACCTTCGATTGTCAAAAAATGTAAAATTCTCCTACTCGCTCGGAATTCGATTCTGAGCACCCCTATAGTCATATCGGAGGAAAAAGAATAGTTAGTGAGCCGAAAACTGAGGGCAAAGCTCGGCGGAGCTGCCACGGGCAAAACCCGCAACCTCCTCCGATGAGCCTCTTCCTGTTTTTCGTTTCATGTTATTTTTCTAACGTTGTGTTCACCGTTCTATTTTTTACAGGTTGATCGAAGAAAAAATTCTAGCTGCAAAGGTGAGCCAGTGGAGCCGACACACCCAAAAAATTTCACCACCGGTAGGTTTTCATTTTATGATTTTTTTTGGACTAACTGAGACCCCCTAATGTATTTTTTCGCAGGGATATTGTAACACCCCATAATAAATTGTATGAAATTTAAAATTTATTAATATAATTTCTTAATTTATTTTTCATTTAATTTAGAGTAAAAATGAAGTAAAATTAATTGAGAATTAAATTGAAAATAATTTTGGAGAAAATGAGTGAAAATTTTGGTTCTGGAGATATTTTTGAAAGAAAAATAGAAAAACATGGGTCAAAATATAATTTAGAGAAGTTTCGCCACGTCAGACGCCTGGTCAGCAGGCCCGGTGAATCAGGACACGCCGCATGGCAGCGAATGCTGCCATGGTGCCACGCGGGCGATCCGCGTGCTCAGGATCGAACGGCTCAGATCCGTTCCCGCGTACACGGACGGCTCAAATGCGTTCCCTCCCCAAACGCGATTGGATGGTCAAATTTGAACACGATCGGATGGTCCATAGCAGATCACGATGGACGGTCCAAATCAAAAGTGGAATGATATAATAACTCTCATCCACACCAAACCTTAACTCTAGCTGCCAGATCCTCTCGCCAGAGAAGAAGACCCGACCGTCGGAAGGACACTGCCGCCACCCATCGCCGCACCGGAACTTTTTTCGACCGCTAAAAAATATTAAAATTTTTTGCTCGAAATTCAATTTTAAGCACACCCATAGCCAAATCAGAGTAAAAAAGACCGACCAATTGGTCAGAAAATGCTGGCGAAGCTCGGAGCCGCTGCCTTGGGGAATTTCATAAAACGCCTCTAATGAGGCCCTTTCCGATTCCCGTTCGGTGTAATTTTTTCACCGTTGTGATTACCATGTCCTTCTCTATAGGTTGACCAGCACCCAACCGCAAACGTGAGCCGAATGAGCTACCGCATCGGAGAGCCCCGCCGCTGGTAAGTTTCAGTTTTTTATGTTTTTTTTACAACCGA